GGAATGCCATGTAGTTTACTGATGTAGTCAATGAAGAGTCTGGCCACTTTTGGAGCATCAAAAGGATGGGATAAACTGATAAAGTGTGCATACTTGGTAAACCTATCTACCACCACCATAATAGTATTCCTTCCTTCTGATTGGGGTAGTCCTTCAACAAAATCCATAGAAATGTGGCTCCATGAGTGCTGGGGAATAGGAAGTGGTTGCAGCAATCCTGGGTAAGCCACATGTTCATCTTTACATTTTCTGCAGGTATCACATTCTAGGACTGCCTTCTTGATTTCCTGGTACATTCCTGGCCAATAAAATAGCTGTTTGGCCCTCATGTAGCTGGCCTGAATGCCTGAGTGTCCTCCAACTTGGGAATCGTGTAGTGCAGTGATTAACTTCCTCCTGGTATCACCTTGTCCCCCTACTACTAGCCTCTTCTTGAACCTGAGAATGCCATCCTGGTATGAGTAGTCAGGTGCTAGTGTGGGGGTTAATAACACCAGAGCTATGGTCTTCTGAGTCCATTCATCCCCCTTGTAACTCTCTATTACCTCCTGTACCCAGGTTGGCACTGCACATGATATAGCTGTGCACTCCCCTATTTCTTCCCTGCCCTGTCTAGACAGTGCATCAGCAGCCAGGTTATCCTTACCTTTTTTGTAATGGATCTCGTAGCTCAACCCCAACAATTTAGTGAGCCATTTCTGTTGGAGTGGGGTAGTGATCCTCTGCTCCAGGAGATACTTCAGGCTTTGATGGTCAGTATGTATGATGAAATGGTGTCCTTCTAAGTAGTGTCTCCATTTGGTCACAGCTGTCACCAAGGCCAGTAGTTCTTTTTCGTAGATTGATAACCCCATGTTTTTCTGTCCCAGAGCTTGACTGAGGTAGGAGATATGTCTTCTATTCTGCATTAGCACAGCTCCTATACCAGTGTAGCATGCATCAGTCTCAATAATGAATGGCTGGGTGAAGTCAGGTACTGCTAGAACTGGGGTGCTACACATGGCCTCTTTCAGTTGCTGGAAAGCCTGCTCTGTGTCTTCACTCCAGTGGAAGTTGTCCTTCTTGAGCAGGTCTGTCAGGGGTCTGGCTATAGCCCCATACCCTTTGACAAATCTCCTATAGTACCCTGTTAGGCCCAAAAATCCCCTTAGCTGCTTGATGTTGGTTGGTCTCGTCCAGTTTTTCATGCCTTCTATCTTCTCAGGGTCAGCCTGTACTCCCTCTGCTGATATGATGTGTCCTAAATATTCCACCTGTAGCTGAGCAAAAGAACATTTACTCATTTTGGCAAATAACTGGTGTTGCCTCAGAATACTCATTACCTCAGTCACATGCTTCACATGTGTCTCCAGTGTGGGGCTGTAGACCAGAATATCATCAAAGAACACCAACACATATTTCCTCATCTGTTCCTGGAAGACCTGATTCATCAGGCTCTGGAAGGTTGCAGGTGCATTGGTCAAGCCAAATGGCATGACCTTGAATTCATAGAGTCCTTGATGAGTCCTGAAAGCTGTTTTTGGTATGTCTTCCACTTTGACCCTGATTTGAAAGTATCCTGCCCTCAGATCTATTTTTGTGAAATACTTGGCCCCATGCAGTTCATCTATTAACTCTTCAATCAGGGGCATGGGGAATTTGTTCTTCACTGTCAGCTCATTCAACTGCCTGTAGTCTACACAGAACCTCCATGTCCCATCTTTTTTCTTAACCAGTAGCACTGGGGAAGCAAATGGGCTGCTGCTGGGTTGTATGATGCCCAGCTCCAGCATTTCCTTCACCAATTTCTCAATTTCTGACTTCTGCACGTAGGGGCACCTGTATGGTCTCACCTGGAAGGGCCTGGCTCCCTCCTTGAGGACAATCTGGTGATCATGGCTCCTTGTTGGAGGCATTCCTTTTGGTTCTTCAAAGACGTCCTTGTATTGATCTAGCACATGGTTGATTTCAATGGGTATCTGTCCTGGTCTTTCCTCCTTCCCCACTGTCACCAGTTGTGCTACTACCCCATATTCCTGCTTCCTTAGCCATTTTGCTAGCCTGCCTCCTTTGAGTATCTCCAACTTGGTGCTGCTGTCTTCCCCTATCAGTATTATTTCTTGCTTCCCCTTGAGGATCTTCATACTGAGTTCCATGAAATTGAACTCTATAGGGCTGTGTTTGGCCAACCAATCCACCCCCAGTATCATGTCACATCCCCCCAACCTCAAAGTGTTGAAGGTATGTTGGAACTGATGCCCCTGCATCTCCCACTGCATAGGCTTATCCAGTCCCTTGGAGTCCACCTTCTCACCATTAGCCACATTGACTATTAAAGTTGGCCCCTGTGTACACAGTTTCAACTCCTTTGCCAGCTGCTCATCCAAGAAGCAATGGGTACTGCCACTATCAATCAGTGCAGTGACTTGCCTTCCCTTAACATGACCCCTCAGCCTTATCGTTTTGTGCCTTGCTCCTCCTGCCAGGGCATGAATTGATACTTCTATGTGTTCCCCTGCCAGACCTCCATTAATGCAGTCACAGAAAACTTCCTCCTCTGGTTCCCTACCCTTCTCCATGTCTTCATCCTCATCAGCCAACAGTAAATGTGCATGGGCTTGTTTGCAAACATGCCCCAAGGTATAAGGTTCTGCACATCTATAACATAGCCCCTTTTCCCTCCTGTGATTGTATTCTGTGGGGGTTATTTTTTTAAATAGGTTCTGGTTGGAAGTGTACTGATCAGGGGGTTTGTTGGTGTGTTTGGGGTAGTTTTGGTTCCATTTGGTGTGGGGTGTAGTTTTGCTGTGGATTTTTTGGCTATTGAAACTGGTATTGACAGGTTTCTGCATTTTTTGGATTGCTTTGAGGTTCTTTTCTTGGAGTTTTGCTATTTCAATGGCAACAGCTAAGGTTTCAGGTTTAGATATTTTCACCATATTGACTATTTCCTCTTTGAATCCACTCATAAAACATGCCTTATAATATGAATCAGACAAGTGAGGTAGAGAAGGCATTACCAGGGCTTTGAGCATCTCGAATTTCTCCAAGTATTCAGCCACAGATCCTGCCTGCACCAGCTTATTGAATTCTTCGATGGCCTCTTCTGGACTTCCCTCTCCAAATCTGATGCATAGAGCAGTGGATAATTCTGACCAGGGAATAGCCTCCCTTCCATGAAAAACTCCATGGAACCAGATGTCTGCTCTGTCTCTGAAATAGAGTTCAGCAACCTCAGCCCTCAAATCCTCCTCTATCTCATGTAGTTTGAAATACTTGTTAGCCTTCCTGATCCACTCCCTTGGATTGTCTCCATCAAAAATTGGCAGATCCATTTTTGGCAATCTACCATGGACTCTGGCCTCTCTCCTACTACCTGCTTCTTTTGGTGGCTCCATCCTGGATTCATTTGATCGATCTTCCTTTTTTGAGCTGCTACTGCCTTCTGGTTCCTTTCCCTGGTCACTGATCTTGGCCACCAACTGAGCCATCATGTTCATCAAGCCCTCATATTTCTGATCCAATCCTTTCAGTAGCTTTTCAGTAGCATCCTGTCTAAACTCCATTGTCCTCATGGCCTGTTCTACTCCCTCACTTTTGTTGGTAAAGGTCCTGACCACACTCCCTAATTCCACGACCTCTCTTCTCAGATTTTCATCCTGGTTTTTTGTCATCCCTATGGCTCGCAACCTGGCTCTGATACCACTGTTGTGGTACAGAACCTAAAAATGGTGTTTGGTGAGGAATGTATCTGAAATGTACTCAAATGATAAGAACACGAATTATACTCAAGCTGAATGAATTCCAGGAACCATTGAACTTTTATTGAATAACTTCAACTTGCTTATAGAAAAAGAAATTGGCGGGAAAAGACGAAGATGAGAAAGAATGGAGGAAGAACTTAAAGAAAGGATAACAGAAAGGATATTCTCCTTCTGATTACAATTCAGGAATTTTCTCTACCAATAACAATTGCATGATCGTAATATTTATAGTAATCTATCCTAACTAACTTGCCCACTAGCTAATGACATAGAAATTGCGTGTGAGTGAATCTTCTAGATTCTCCTGTCCACTTGCAGCAAGAAGGACGTGAACCCAGAATGAGCGTGCTTTCTTGCTCGCGCCTTTGCGGTCTCCTGGCGCCTTCTCCCTTTTTGTTATCACGCCTTTATTTACTTCGTGCCCACTTGCTGTCTGAATTCTTCAATCCGCGTCTTCTCTTCTTTCCTCTCTGCTTGATCGCGCTTTCCTTTGTTGCCACTTCACGCCTTTACTCCTTTATATCCCTACTTCATTACATATAAAACTAATGATGTATCAATTAGACTCTAATAATTGTATAATCAAATACAAAAATTAGATTTGGATCAAGAACTTAACATTGTAATAGGGGAAACTGGGCCTGACACCTCTTTTTCTTTCCGGTTAGCTTATATTTGGGCCAGACGGTTCTTTTGAATTACATCAATCCATATGCTATCAGACAGGTGACTAGCAAGTTTCCTGTCCTCGCTTCTCCTGATAAGACACGGATAAACAGTGTGTATAACATGTGTTTCTTTGTGCTTCTACTAATCCCAAAGGTGTGTTGTGGGAATTGGTTATTAAGTGTATGGGAATTCCCTTTTCTTATTTTGTTTGTTGTTTCTAGTTGTTTCATTTTTTTAGTGTTTTTTCATCCTTTGTGTCAGTGTCAATCTTTCGGCTGGCTTCCTGTGGATGATTGGATCCTTCAACTGTTTGTCTAGAGGTCGATATAACCAACTCGCAAAGCCACACTATTTTATTTTTACTTGCTCTTATTACGTTACATGTATGACAATAGAAAACTGACAAAGAATTTTACTATTCTTGAATTACAAGACTTGTAATTCGAAATTTTCAATATGAAGTGTATGACTCTTGAATAGAATTATGCTAGAGTTGAACTTTTGGGTATATTATAGTGTCTCAATGCAATAGTGAGTCTAGCCTGTCCAAATAAAAGAAGGGTGAGTTTCCTACTATGCAAAGGGACCTCTTGCTACTAGTCAGCTGGAATTTTTGAATAAAATTGGAGGAAAAAGAATAATTAAGGGGTGTGCCTGGTATTCAATGAGGTTTGTCTTCTCTTCTGAATTATATAATATCCAATGCCAGCCAAAACAATAAAAATGATAAAACCATCAACCACTCCTATCACAATTACACTCCATTTCTTCAATCCAGAACTCTTGCCATGGACCTGATCTCGACTTCCCTTCGGCATTTTAACCCAATAACTCCCTGTGCTTCCCCTCTGGATCTCCTTAACTCCCCTAACCAATCCATAGAGAAAACATTGCTGCAAGTTTGCATCAGCTTCAGCTGACGAGATGTATAATGCTGCAACACAAGTACAGTTATCCAAACACAGATTTGCACATGCGTCTTTGCTGATATTGACCTCGCTAGGGGTTCCCTGCCTCAGAATGCTCGTAACGCCTTGCAGCTCAACCATCTCTGCCTGGTTCCTTCCACACAGCCCTTCAGATATGCCATCAGTACTGCAATCTGGAAGTGACCCGATACCTTTTGTCATTAGTCGAATGCAAGAGCAGGCGTTGGAGAATGTACAAATTCCATATGGATTGCAAGCCAAAGGAAGATCACATGTCCCATTGAGTGCTTGATAGGAAGCTTGGAACATTTGTCTCTCAGCTGAGTAATAGTAGAGCCCTAGATTACCAGTGGAATTTCCCAGTGCTAGAAACCTCACGGGCTGAGGCTGTTCTGAGGTAATCTGAGCCACTTTCTGGAACTTACCATTGAATATTTCAAGCGCTTTGGAAGTCAATTCTATATATGTAATGTTTTTCTCACCATAAGGGTACGGCTTAAATTCCCAATAAGAATACTTCCACTTGCCAGAATTCAAATACAGTACAATCTTATCATACTGAATTTCAAACGAATAGAATAAACTCGAGTTGTTGCTGATGAAAGACGTTAGCCGAGTCCTTGAACTTAGCCTTTGCCCCTGAAGCATTACATCAGTTGGGAAATTGAAAGTTTGCCACTTAATCAAGTTCAGAGGATCTACTAAAATGAGATTACCTGTCTCTAGCAAGTGCAGCCTCTACAGAAATACAGAATTTGATGGAACATCAATCAGATAGTAGTATATCAAGATTAAAGAATGAGCACACATTTTTTCAAAGAAGAGATCAAGTAAGCACAATCACCTAGGTAAGTAAGGATCTGCTTTGCAATATTTACCTGGACGCCTTGTCCAGATGTTCCACTCCTCCATCCAATTATTTCTTTCTGACCTTTCAATTGCAGATCTCCATCCTCTGTGAGCTCGAGCATGCATTTGTCTGCTGTGTAGAATCGAGAGAAATGGCCAGAACTCCATACCTTAACATTTCCTAGGAAGATATCTAGTGAACACGCGTACTTGTCATCCAGAGCTTCAACACTGACTGCAGTTCTAAAGTTGGGCTCGGTTTGGTCAGTTTCCATAATGAAAGCTCTCCCCACGAATCCGCTGCTGTATGCTGGAGGTATAGCCAGTGTTACATGGTAGCCAACGAGAACATCAGAGTCACAATAGGCATGGAAGAAAAGATAAACAAGGAAAACGAGATGGCAAATTTTCATTTCAAGATTGGATTATAACAGCAGTGCATATTTTCGTGGGGGGCAGCTCTGGTACTTTAGTTTAGGGGTCTTATTTTCGGGTGGAAGCAATAGAAATGAGTGGAAGAAAAGTTGGCATGCTGCCATGCCTTCGATTCACAGACTCAGAAACAGCCTAAAAGCACACTTGTCTAGTTGCCCCTTCATCGTTGCTTTTGTTTTGGCTGGTTTTTAATTTATTCCCATTCAATTGTAACTAATTATCTCATTACCAAATAAAGTAAAATAAATAAACAGCTCATTATCTTTTAAATAAAGATTATAATCGTTTAACTCTTAAAGTGATTTTGCTTCCCAACGTGTCTCCTAACCTTATCTCCCTACTATTCCTGATTCCATGAATTAAATCCTCTAATGGAAAGAAACAACAGTTTTCTCTACGTTTCATCCTCGATTGAAAAGAACAATAGTTTTCTCTATATTGTTTCTATCGAGAGACTCTCTACAAAAACGGTAATCAAATAATAGAACGAAAAAAAAAAGCATGAAATTCCTTTAGCCAAGTAATAATTCTCTAGGAGAAAGCCCAAAAACCCTAGTAACTTACAAGTGTAGACGTTAGAAGATAATACTCGTTTTCTTATTTATACAAATATTGACTTTCACTTCCTTTTGTAAAGCAAGTTGTGGTGAAATTCATCTGTAAGGTAAATAACTATGCATCATTTTTCTTTAATTTCCTTTCCTTCTTTCTTTCTTTCTTCCTTTCTTTTTTCTTGGCATGGCCTTGGCCCTAGGACTGTTGTTGAAGGACAGTTGTAAGAATAATTAGAGTCAGAAAGTTGCTCACTATAAAATTGAACCAGCAGTTAAGATTGTCCAACTTTCCAGCTCTATCAGGTACTGTGATTTTATGGAAAAACAGAAGAGTGAGCAGGTGGAGGTGGTGGTAGAGTTGGAGTAAAATAGATTGTGATTTGTAATACTGACCCCATGTGTCTGAAGGGTCAATTGGATGCTTCTTCTTTTAAGGTTAGAGCGTGCAATCCCCTTTATGAGTGGTGGATTAAAATTAGACTCTTTTCTGTTTGTGGAAGCTGACGCCATCATGCCGGCATCACTACCTGTGGCATTTGTCTTGGGGTGACACCAACTCTCGCGCATGAATGACGCCTGAAAAGTTTGGTGTGGGGGAAAAAGAGAAAAAAAAAAAAAAAGAGACTGAAGCTGTTACACTGGAGCACAAATCAAGCAGAAATAGCAAAATTTGTTCCTTCTGATGATCACAGATTTTTGCTTATGCTTAGCATGAGACATGGAAGAAAATCAGGGATTGCAATTTTTGACACGGTAAGTGGACAAGACGCAAATACCAAAACAAAAAAAAAAGAAAAAAGAACAAGACTTGACTGAAACAAGATAAAGAAATAATTTATGTCAAAAATGGATTGACACAAACACTGATGTGTTGACACGATTATTCTATTAGTGACATGTCAAGACTTTGTTTCGAATGTGCACTTTTTGCTTAGTTAGTAATGATGATAATGATCTTTGTGCTAATGTTAGCTCATATGCCTTAGGCATTTTGATGGATGAGGAAATTATGTTTCCTCCGTGTCTTTGAACACGAGTTGTACAGATTTTCGGGCCTTTGTTCGAAGTGTATTCTCTCATTATAAATCAATGCAAGTAGCCTAATGTTTCGAAACAAAAAAAAAGACATGTTAAGAATTTTGTAAAAAATACTACTATTCCGTTCCTCCCTCATACGACACCAAAAATGAAGTTGTTCTCGTTAAGGTTCAAGAAATGTGTTGGTGTGAATCTTTATCATGCTACCAAATCAGCCGGAGCCAGCAACCTTTGTCGCGAGTTATTACGTTTTAATTACAGAAAGCAAAAAGGGAAAAAAAAAATGCCAACTTGAAGCTCAATTCAGCAAAGAAACTTTTGTTATCGTCAGACGTTACAATTACACATGTAACCATAATTTTATGCTGCGTACACAAAAGTAGTTGGCTTGGTATTCAGCCAAATTGGCACATAATTTTATCTTGACAGGTGTTCAATTGGTACTCGTTAGATAGGCTCTAATTTTAATTTGATGAATAGAAAAAAATCAATATTTTTAGCTTACATTTTAAAATTTGAATGTTTGCAGTTATTTAGTTAAAATTCAATTCCCGATATCTGATTTATCAAAACAAAATTTGGACGATAACAAGATGGTGGTCTTATTGAAAAAGTTATTTTTTTTAAATCAAATTATCGATCACAGCCATTGAACACCCCAAGTCAGTTTTATTTTCTATATATTCTTATAACATCATTAATGGTCCGAAGCACAAATATGTAATGTGGCCTAGGCCCTGATGGATAAAATTGGGAAACCCAATTCAAATACCAGAAAAGCAATAAGAAAATTGTGCCCAGAAACTCGAGAATCCCATTAATATGTAAGAGGAATTAAGAGAATTGAGTGCAGAACCTCAAGAATCCCATTGATACTGTTAATAAGTGGATGACAGGGTAGGAGATGGTACATTAAGGAGGAAGATGGAATGAGACTTGGGGAACAACAACAAATGAGAAAGAAAGCTCAACAGAGCAATTCTTTACTCTAAAACAAAATGGTCAAAACGTGAATACAAGACCGGAAAATGCAAAACGACAAATGGCCAAATAGAGCTATGCCAACTGGATGCTCTAACAAAGGTAAACGGAAATATTGTGACTTGAGACTAGGGGTGGAGCTGATAGCTACTCGACTCGAACTCGATATGTACTCGATCAGAAGCTCGAGCTCGAGCTCGATCTCGAGCTGCTCGTTAGAGCTATCGAGTCGAGCTCGAGCTCAGAAATTTGATACTCGAGAGTTCGACGAGCTCTATCGAGTATCACATAAAAAAATTTAAAAAAAAATATATATAAAATTACTAATATAGGTAAATAAATTCTGAAAATTTACCGGTGAGTACCCTTATCGAGTCGAGCTCGAGTATTTTAAGGACTCGATCGAGCTCGAGCTCGAGCTGTGATTCTCCGACTCGATCGAGCTCGAGTATAATTATATTATAGCCGAGTCGAGCTCGAGTATAGCGGTACTCGAGTTCGACTCGGCTCGAATACACCCCTACTTGAGACCTTGACTCCTTTTTTTCCAAATCACGCCTTTAGCTAATTAAAAGCACCGCCAAAGAGACACAACAAAAACGTGTCTTACGACCTGCGCCTTCTTCTTAACTTCTTTCTTCCAAATCACGGCTTCAGCTAATTAAAAGCACGTTTTCAGCTCACTTCAACAGAAGGGCAAACTATAACGCCGCAACCCATATTTTATTTTCGCAACAAATTTATGTTAAAATGACAAAACTACTCCTCCAAAGTCTAGATTGCATTAGGACCTGAGAAGGATAATTTTGACATATTGTGCAAAAATGACTGCGGAACTACAAAATGGCCTGTAACATTAAAGGCACCCGAATAGAATGCACCTGACCTAATCAACCCTATAACATCCATTAAACTCCTCGGCTAACTAACTATTCAGGACTAAAGGGTCCAATTATTACTGCTCCTGCAATGTTATTATCAAGCTCCATCATCTTACCGGAATGGTTACCTTAGAGTTGGTGGTGTTAGGAAAAAAAAAAATTTTTGTTGGCTGTTCTACGAAGAAGTATTGACTTATGTGGAACGGAGTTAGTAGCATTCTTATGAGAAGAAGGCATCATCTTCTTGTTCATTATTATCCCCATTTTTATCAATTTTACCACTTTTACCATAGTGATTATCCTCTAGTTGTTTACCACTACAAAAAGTGATTGCATTCACATGTTCTTTAGGATTCACCTCAATTTTACTTGGAAATTTGTCCAATTATCTCAAATTAATGGAATTAACAATATTACCTATTTGGCCTTGCATATTCCTAATCATGGGCATCATATTGTTCATGCTTATTTTAACATCATCAAATCTTTCTTTTGTTTCACGAACACGTTTTGCAAAATTGACGTCCAAAGTGGAAATACATGGCTCAAGTGGCCTTGTTGAAAAATCAGGTGGATTGATAAGTTTTTGTGAATTTGATTGGTCTCTCCACCCTAAATTATTGATTGGCTCAAGTGGCCTTGTTGAAAAATCAGGTGGATTGATAGGTTTTTGTGAATTTGATTGGTCTCTCCACCCTAAATTAGGATGATTCTTCCAATCGGGATTGTAAGTGTTTGAAAAAGAATTATTTTGAAGTGGCCAATTGTAGTTGTTAACACTATAAATTTGCTCCACATGAAAACAAATAGCACTATCATGATCACCGCCACATGTTGAACAGTATGCAACACTTACATGAGAATTTGACCAATTTCTCCCTTCTTTACTTAACGACTTCTCAATGTTATCCATTCGAGAATTAAATATATTTTCTAATTTAGCACTTAAAAAGTTGAGTGTGTCAATTTGATACATACATGCCACTCTTCTTGACTTATTTCTTTCATTTGTCCATTGATAGTTGTCAGAGGATATTTCTTCTGTCAAAGATCGAGCATCCTAGGTTGATTTTCCCATTAAACCTCTACCGACGGCGACATCTATGTTGATTTTGGTTGGATAGTTGAGTTTATTATAGAAAGTTTGAACAACCAACCAATCGGGAAGGCCATGGTGGAGATATCTTATTTGAAGATCTTTAAATCTCTCCTAAACTTCATATAATGACTCACCTTCATGTTGAGTAAAACCTGTGATATTCATGCGAAATTTAACTATTTTTTTGGGAGGAAAATATTTATTCAAGAATGCTTTTGTCAACTCACCCCAAGAAGTGAAAGTATTAGGTGGATAAGAATTAAGTCATACTTTCGCTTTTATCACAAAGTGAAAAAGGAAATAACTTTAACTTAATTGTATCATCACTTACTCCATTTATTTTGATTGTGCCATATAAATCCATGAAATTAGCTAGATGAGTATTCGGATCCGCTGTTGCATTTCCTCCAAATTAACTTTGTTGAACCATTTGGATGAACGAGAGTTTGATTTCAAAGTTGCTTGCAGTAATTGCTGGCCTTACAATATTAATTTGTGCTCTCGATTCCTTTGACAAGGCATAATCCCTCAAAGGTTTTGGCCTTTGCTGCTCTATTTCGACGGGAGTTTTACCTAGACTTTCCATCTCAATTTACTCTTGTTGGGTGTGTCTTCTTCCTTTGCTCGCCGTATTTAATTCTTGAAGGTAAATTGTGCCTTTGATGAAGAATTTAGTACTTAGAAATAGCCAAAATTAACAACTAAAAGATGCAAAATATAAGATTAGCAAAATAAAGATAATGTAACAAAATCTAGATTAATAAATCTTGCTTTAACTCTAGTGTTGGACCCTCGGCAACGGTGCTAAAAACTTGATAGGGTCTTTTCACTCACTGCGAATTTTAAAACCTTATCACCCTATTTCCGCAAGTGCATGGATCATTTATTGAATATATGGATAATAAGCGTCGATCCCAGAAGAATTTAGAATGTAGCAATCACTTGAATTTAATTACTTGCTTTATTACCTAAACAATCAAAGTTAAGGAAGTAAAAACAAAGAAAGTTAACTAAGTGGTACAAACACCCATGGAAAATCTTAGTGTAGGCGGTATAATCGGCCATATGACATAAATCATAATATAAAACTGGCCATTAGGTGGTAAAACCAACCATATAGGAGATATGTTGTAAAAATAAATAAATAAAAGTAAAGACAAATTAGATTAGAATTGTTTAAAAATTAAGTGAGAAGATCTTAGGGATTAGAATCCTTTGTTATATCAAGATTAGAAATTAGTTAAAATGATTATGCTTATGATTCAATGAATTATCAAAGAATAACTTCCAAATGTATGTCCTTACTTTCGCCAATGGGCTTTCTTAAGAGAAACTGCCTTGGCTAATTCCTCTAAAAATTACTATTGCCAATTTCTTTAATTTTTTGAATCATCCTTCACCTAAGTTCATAGAGAAAATATAAGAAACAAGTTAAATAAATTCAATGAAGTTATTTTATGAATCCAACAAACTATTATTCACTACTTTCGTAAGAATAAGACTAATGTTTAAGAACTTAGATCTATTTCAAGGTAACTTTCATTGCTCAACAATTATTAAATCATTCATAGTTGATGGCCAAACAATTCGAAAGCATAAGCACAAGTTCTCAAACTAACAAATCATGAAAAAGCATGATCATCTCCTAACTATTTCCAATCAAAACTACAAGAAGTTCATCTTCACTCTAGAATATGAAAAAACTTAGCTCAACATCATATTAAGAACATCTAAGTATGAAACAAACTTGTAATAAAGTATGACAAATAAGAACAAGAAACAAAGTTTAGGAAGAAGAATTCTTATTCAATATCTTCAAGTTTGAATTTTTGAATTCCTTCACAAGTTGATCTCTCAAATAAATTTGGTATAAGGGTGTTTTCATCTTCCTCTCAAAACTCTTAAACTAAGAAAGAAACTCTCAATATGAAACTAGAGCTAAACTATTTCTATCTCTACTTCTACTCTATTCTACTTCTTACAACGAGGTGGTACAAGATGCTAAAGGTGCTCAAATGAATGAGATATAAGGGGTATTTATAGATATTTTTGGATGAGAAAATGAGCTTATAATGTGGTCCTAAAGTTGTTCTTCACTTTTCCAACTCAAATTTAGCTAGAACCAGCCAGATTTTATCAGAAAAATTAGTCCATAACGTAGTGTGAAACGAATACAAGTTGCAGAATCAACTTGTAGAAGCTTCTTAGGGATATACCTCACGGATCGCCTCGCAGTTCTTCATGTTCTTCAATTTTGCACTTTTTGCTCAAATCTCAACTTTGCTTTATTTTTGGACCAACTTCAACTGCAATTTTCTTGATGATGGAAGCCGAATTAGCTCTTGCACAAATATGAAAGTTATAGCTCTTTGAATTAGCTTTTCAATGCATCAAGAATAAGCTTATTTGAATCTCTATAGTCTAATGAATGACTAAAATACCCTTAACTGGTTGATGCTTTATTTTATCTTTTGACATAAATTTTTTCAACTGTATTTTGAATTTTGGCTAGGAAAATCAATGAACTGTATTTTGATGTCTCACAAGAATTGTAGAGATACATATGTCTTAGCTTCTAAATGGATTAGGAATCATCTCAATCCGATACTTGTAATTCAAGATATTACCAAAATACCAAGATGTGTCAAAACTATCAAACTCTTCTTAAGATGAATCATTTCAAAGGATACCAAAACCTATAAAAACAACACAAATTTGCATATTAATCCAGACTTTTGCATGTTGTGGTTAAGAAACACTACTTGTATTAAAAACAACTTATAAAGGAATTCAATTCTTCCATTTTAACTTAAAACATACCAAAAATTTACCCTAAAACCTAACTAAAAATAGGCAAAATAAATGCTAATCACTCATCAACACTTCTCCTTCGCAACACCACCCCGCCAACAATTTTAGCAAGATCTTCAAGGGTTTTTCATTGATTTGCAGTAATGTCCTCTATTTCTGGATCTTAGGGTTTCTATCTCATTTGTGAAGAAAATGATAGTTTTTCATTTTCCCTCTTTTGGTTTAGTGTATTTAATTAACAAGAGGTAAAAATAAAAAAGAGTAGTTAAGTTTTGGATGGGTTTTCTAATTTAAAAGAAAAAAGAGAAATAGTTCGAAGGTGGGGCTTTGTTCAATTCTTTAGGCCTCATCGACATTTCTCCTTCGCAGCTCCACCTTGCCAACAATCTCAACAAGAGCTTCAAGGGTTTTTCATTGATTTGCAGCAATGTCCTCTATCTCTGGATCTTAGGGTTTCTCTCTTGTTTGTGAAGAAAATAGTTTTTCGTTTTTCCTCTTTTTGTTTAGTCTATTTAATTAACAAGAGGTAAAAAGCAAAATGAATAGTTAAGTTTTGGATGGGTTTTCTGATTTAAAAGAAAAAAAGGGGAAAAGTTGTTAAGTGAAGTCATGTGACTGCACGTGTAATGATTCTGTTAGAAAATTGAACGAAATCTATCACTTACCCAATTTTACGCAAAATTAGATAGATTGGGGATTACATTTGCTTTGATAAATAGATTGGAAACTAGATTTGCGCATAGGGACTAAAATTGTAACTAGTACACTTAAAATGGGTTGATTAATCTATAGATCAAATTCAAGAACATTTCTTCTTTTTTCTTATGTGAAAGGTAGTTTTCAATATTGTTTATGACATGATTTATGACTATGAAGATTGTATGATTAAAAACTGTAAACTTGGACTTGCATATTTTGTAAATAACATTTAATTTTCTTTTTTCATTTGTCTTAGTTCACAATAACTCAAAGGGTTTTTCATTTACGTAATGGTTAACATTATGCATACCTGATCAATTGATCATTATTGAACGTAATAAGTGTCAATGGTTAAGCTAGAAGACCAATATTTAGAAGGAAATCAGAGTAAATAAGCTAGCTTATTCTATGTCATTCTAGGTCACTTGTTATTTTGTGTGTTCATCCTTATCCTCTCAACTTCCCCGCAGATCACTTACCAGGAGAGGTTTTCATGGATCGGGTCACGTGTCCATTGACAATTTCACCGACTCTAACCGCAAATAGCAATTTGGTAAAATTGTATTTTATACCCTAATTCTATTCAATCGATTAACTGCTAATTGATTAACTTGCAGGATAGGGTCAGGTATACAGGGTAACCTAACCCTCTTGTACTTGTAGGAAAAAAGAAAAACAAAATTAGATTAACAAAGAAAATAATATAATAGTTGTCCAAATTAATAAAAGTATTTAATCCTATAACTCTAAAAAAACCACCAACAAAATAGAAAATCAAAAGACAATAGATAATTAAAACATAAAATATTCCAAACATTTTCATTTTTTTCTACTTCTTGAAAACTATTAATTCATTTTTATTAAGGATGACAGGTTGCTTTACAATAAAAAATGCATGGTCTAAATATTAAAAACAAAATAAATAGCGTGGTGAAGGGGATAGAATTTATGAGAAATGAAAAGGAATTTTGAACAAAGAGAAAAAATAGAGTAATAGAGTAAATGAAATTAGTGGCAAAGAAGATAGGAAATGGACAAAAGAAATGGAAGATAGGGTTAAATATATAAGTTCATAAGTGATGACAAATAAAATGTATAATGACATGTGGTTCATAATTTAAATTATTATTAAATGACTAAATAATTTTGGGTTGAGGTTTGGATACTGATTATTTTAACCAATCTTCCATACATGCGAGTAGGCTCAAGTAACAACCCCATTTTTTAAAATTGAAAACCATACCCTAACATAATTTCTCAAGTAGGTTCAAATAACCTACCCATTTTTAAAATTATGAATTGGCACCCTATTTTTGGGTTTGGACCAATTCGATTTTCTTGGTTACCCACCCTTTCAATTCTTTTTGAATAACCCTAAATGACATAATAGTGTACAAATATTCCGTTTAGGTTTAATTTATCAATACGGTCATATATCTCTTAGCATCCAAAAAAAAAAAAGTGTAGGGCTACAAGACAAAATTAAGTTACTTTTTTTAACCTTTGAACCTCATCCAAAAAAATTGCAATTAGAGCTAGAAGATAAAAATCAATGCTTAATCTTTCAATCGAGCTCCCCATTTCAAGATTGGTTCATAAATTTAACCAAACCAGACTCAAACAAAAGCTTTATGCTCATTAGTTTTGAAGCTCAACCAATTCTAAGTATAAAATAGAATTTGTATAAAAACCCAAACAACTTGAGGTCAACTCGACATTTACATTGAGCTGGATAGAGCAACCTGCTTTAACATCTCATGCTTTCCACCGCACATTCGGTTTTGTAGGAAAGATTTATATTAAAACCAAACCTTCCTTGTCCCGTACATGGCTAAACAAATTTCATCATCATTTCATCTTCAAACATACCACATCAGCATAAATTGTAACAAATATCTCTCTAACAATGTAATATACCAACAGATTTCCTTATACAATGTGTCCCCTCCCCCTCTCCCTAAATCATGCTGAACAAATCCCACCAAAACAGATATTTCTATTTTTTTTAAAAAAATCATGCTCAAAAAATCCCATGTTACAAACCCCAATGCTAAATCCCGATTTTCTTTTGTACAAGGAACATCTCTCCAAATACTCACAGCCAATCTAAACTATGCCAACAATTCCAGCTACAACAGCACAAGTTGAGGGAGAACGATGCTGAATTTATTACCTCATTCCTCATTCGCCAAAGTTGATAGACTGTAACAGCTAGCATTAGCCTCTTCAAATTGACAGCAAAAACACTTGCCCTTCCAATGGTGACACATCCAATGTAGCTCATCAGGCCAAGCACTTGCATGCAACGTGATAAGTAAAACAAAAGGCCGGTACTTTCTGCAAGACATTACACACAGAAAGGATGATTAATGGTTTCAGCCTCAATCACCACATGAAACACAATTAGAGGGTGCAGCAATACCAACTCCTTAGCCTGTCTCTGGTCAACAGCTTCTTCTTACATGCAAGCCACAGGATGAAGAAAATTTGAGAACAAAACCTGTGCTTCACACCAACTGGTACCATTCAACTTTACTGCCTGGACATCTCAAGACACGAGGGTTCTATCGCTGATTTCAAAGAAACTGAACAGGTGTACTGGCAGTCCAGTAGATAGAATCAGAGCTATCAGGAAGAGGAACAAAGCATATTGGAGTAGCCAAGTTCAACCTTCTCACCTTGAGATTAAACTTTCTACCTTGAGGCCATTGCCAATCCCTACATTTAATAAATTGAGCCACTTTAGACCCTTTACAATAAGACCAAGAGGATGGAGAAATTTCCCACTGAACTTCTGGTGTGGAGGGCCTATAAGTTGCCAAAAATCAAACCAAAAACTCGTATTTTCCCCAACATCTATCACATGCATGATATAATGGTGTACCTAACGCCTTAGCTTAAGCAGTTTACACCACACCCAAGAACAAACAGATGGTGTCTGTACACCCCAAAAAATGACTTTTTTGCTCTTCAAATTGACACCTTAAGAAATGACTCGATGATGTCCTAACAAGAATAGGCATGATTGTATGTCAGATGCCATAACAGCATTTCCGCTTATTCAGTTGTGTAATGAGATCGTATCACTTGAGCTATCAATTGAGAGAAATTTCTTCATCATCAATCCAAATATTAGGCACATGAACTATCTTAAACCAGTCTTCACCTCCATCCTTGCGGCATCTTTCTGTAACCTTTGGACAATCTCTTAAGATTAAAGATTGAAGTGAAGGAGGAAGTTGATGTTCTGCATGCAAAGATTGCAGGGCTGCACAGTAGCTTATCTCAAGTTTCTTGAGTGCTTTAAAATGTGAAAGCAATGGAAGATCATATAATTTTGGGCAGCATATTATAGACATTTGAAGAAGGCATGGAAAGTCTCCATTCTCCATTCCGGTCCATTCTTCAAGGTTAAGCATGTTCTCAAGTGTCAATTTCTCCAACTTGGGAAATGCTTTCAAGCCTTGACTTCTATAATTTCTGCAAAACAGACGGTTGATGTCTCTTAGGCCAGCCATACCAACTATTTTGAGGATACTCAATGAGGGTAACTCTCCCATAGAGGGTAAAAGATAGCAGTTCTTGCAGTTGCAAAGGGTGATGCTTGCAAGATTAGTGAATGATGGATTACTAATCCAACTTGGAAGTAATGAACCATTGTAAAACAGTATCTGTAAGCTTTCAAGATTTGTATGTGGCTGAAGATACTCCAAGATCTGCTCTTCAGCCTTGGAGTTTTGATATCTATGTTCACCCCATCTTAACTCAAGTTTTGTAATGTACTGCTTGCTGTTTAGAGCAGCTTTCTTAGCTTCAACCACGTTTGCAACATTTTCAAGCCTTGCGATGCAAAATGTTCCAGTGATATTATCCAAATCTTTTAGCTCTGCAACACTGCATCCTTCTTCCCTTCCAACTAGGAATGCTTTCAAGGTTTGAAGATTTGTCAAACTCCCCATTCCTTTCGGAATGAAGTTTAATTGACGTACAATGTCAAAGTCCAAATGTCGAAGACTAGTCAGATTTCTCATTCCCGGAGGCAATGAACAAAGAGCAAAGCAATCTCTGAGTTTTAGTGTTTGTAAACTATAAAGGGTTTCAATTGATCTAGGCAAAATTCTAATGGGAGTATAAGAGAAGTCGAGGTAATGTAATAATTCTAAACACCCTATAGAACTTGGCAATCCTGATACGAGGGTTCCACTTAAATCCAAAGTTCTTAAACTCTTCAAGCATAGAAAAAGATCACGAGGTAGCTGATTGATTGAGGGGACACACTCTCCAAGAAATAGAAGCGTGCGCAATTGTTTGCAATTTTTAAGAGCCTCAAAATGACTTGAATCCAACTTTTGCAAGGATGAATGTAAGGTTTTTCTAGATATGTCCTCCAACTTCCCTTCCTCAAACCTTACATAGGATTCCTCAGAAAAACCTTGTTGAAAATACCACATAGAACACTTAGATTCATTAACCTTATACTTTTGCTGTCTATAGAGCTTATTGAATCTTGAGGGCACAATATACTCCTTATATACCAAAATATCAAAACAAATGCCACCCTGATTCTCCAGTTTTTCTTTAGCTTTGGCAACAATGAGTTCCTCTGCAATCCATAATTGCACCAACGTATCCTTCTCAAATTCATAACCAAGAGGAAACAAGGTGCAATATGTTACACACCTTCTGACATACTCAGGCAAATTCTCAAATTCAGCATCCAAATTTGTAGCAATCTTATTTGACTCTTTCTTCCCTCCCGTACAATATGTTCTCTTATCCTTGGATCCAGGTTCAAATGGTTCAAGTGGAGATTCTTTGGCCTTGGCTATTTCACTTGTCTGTTGATTTCTAGATTCAGTCCATTTCATTACAGTTGCCCGAAATTCCTCTGGTGATACATGAATTAATGTAGTGGGAACTTCTGATCTTCGATGTTTCAGAGCATATCTGGATGTCAGAACAGCCTGCTTAGGCTTGGAAATTTGGTATCCAGTGACAAGCACTTTCGGATGATTTTTAACATCATCAGCTGACATCCCACCACCAACTACAGCTGCCACTTTTTCCCAACGATTGGGACAGTCCTCAGAAAACAACTGCAGAGCACTCTCAAGCAACTTCTCTTGAGTTAAAGTCCACGTAGTTGAAGAAGAGATGGGAGAACCAAATGATGGTACTGAGGGCACCTGTTTGCAATTGGCAGAGCACAGTTTATTACAAAAGCTACACCTTGTAGATTAATAGCATCTACATTTGTGTAGAATATTCAATAGCATCTACATTTGTACACTTTCTTCTGGAGGAGATTAGTACTTGGTGTTGAATAAATCAAAAAGAGAATCTTCTTTAAGAGACTCATTATTCTGTTTCTTAATGTCTTTGATAGTTGATATGGTTTTAAGAGAAACTAAGACCACTTAACTTCTGAAGAGATCAATAAAAATCTAAAAGTATCAACAAAGATTAACCAAGTGCAGCAGTACAAATTTTCCCACCATTTCTCTTGTAAGTTACCTACCAGTACTTTGATGGCTATATTTATAAAGGCCAACATGGTTTGATTCAATGGCTTCCGATTTATCTTGGACAATGGTTGCGCTTTGTCACAACTATATATACAAGTGCTAGCTTAAGTTAGTTCACAATTAACAGGTCTAATACTTCCATGAATTTTGATTCATTTTGGAAACTATCTTACACAAATAAGAACAGGAAATTCGAAAAACCAACTTGGGAAAATTACCGCACATAACATGATCTACGTATACGAATTCTCAAATGCTTTGCTAGTTCTCACTGATTAACAAAATTATTTAGGCTAGTTATTGCAGCCTGAAATTTCTGGCTACTAGCTCTAGTAGTTTTCCTGAAACTTCCGAAAGCTATTCCACTATAATGTGAGGTTTACGTACTCTCTCATGGAAAAAAAGTTTCAACCAACTTAATATGCATAGTGTGATCCTGACTTTATTATGTCTTGATGTATGATATACATCAAATAATGAAAAAAGGGGTATTTAATCACCATAACGGTCCCTTAGTATCTAGCAGTCACTTAACTTTCAAAATCAAAAAAAAGCAGAGAGATTATGTTTATGCTGGAGCCATAAACACAGATTTAAACTTCCGTTTTTGTTCCCCTTTTTAATGTGATCAGTATAAACTCACTTTCAGAAAACAGTTAACAAACTAAGCTTCCTGTACCACAATTGCATTATAGAGATTACCGTAGATTCACCATAGTCTTTAAAATTTCCCTGATGCTGCTCATGTTCATCTGGAAAGTCACCCACTGAAGCAACCCTGTAGCCAGCCTCGTTGCGAGCTTGTTCAAATTTCAGCCGATGGGACAACTTCTGAACCTGTTCCCTTTCAATTTCATTCACACATTCTTTCTCACGCCCAAATCCCCTCAGACCAAGTCCTCCTTGATGCCACCTGATTCTGGACTCTTCTGGAAAACTCACAACACTGTATACCTTATATATTTTCCTGACCTGATACCCTCTCACATAAGCCTGCCAACAGATTTACTCTGATTAAGACGAGTATTTCAAATCTTTTTTAACTGAACCAGTTTCAAAGGGCTTATGTCATTTGGCTGCAAAGTTCTACATGACGACAAATTATACTTTGCATCCTCAACATATTCTTCAATATTCAGTCTCCGTTTTGAACTATTATGTTTTAAGCATCATGTTTCAAGAAGCAAGTAAACTTTTTTGACATTGGTTCTGAGATACCCAGGATTTCAAAATAAACTCTACCTTTTGAATTCAGATTCATTCTTCCCGGAATTATATTAAAAGAAAAGAAGAAAAGCATTTTCAGAAATATCCTAATAAACAACATAAAGAGTGAACTGCATAGGGCACTGTGACTAGAATATGACAATGAAAAAGCAAAGGAAGGTACTTTAATTCAGAAATTAACAAAATAGATTAGCGTAATTTCAATAGTTATAGCTGAAGTATATGTAAGTATATTACACATCATGAGATGTCAATGTCACCTGTATCTTTATCACTTTCTGCCGTCTTGCAAGAAAATCCTTGTGACCTTTCCAACCTCGATATGTCTTCTGTATGGATAAAGCAGCTGAGGTATGATCCCTTGAATCACTGAATGCCAAGTTTGATGCATCCAAAAACCCCTGAAATGACAACTTGAATGGATTGCATTACTTTATGAATCTTTTTTATCATTACTTGAAGAATTACATTAACAGGAGCATGTGAACAAAGACTACACAGAATCACTTATTTCGACATTTATAAACAGAGAAATAGAGAAATAGTAAAACCTTTCTTCGAGCAGCATCCATCAAATTGTTTGCCCCGGGTTCGTTTTCAAAATTTTAAGAACGTATATGAATTACATTTTCATTCTTTCTTTCGCTTTCAAAAGTTTAAAGATTTATTACCACCAATAACAGTTAGGGCCTAATCCTAAATTTCAGCTGGAGTAACTATCGACTAGGACGAGTAAAAATTGAATCCCAGAGAGGATAGAAACAAACTCCACAAGTAAGCTTTTCTTAGTGAAGGTAATAAACTATAAGCAAGCTTCGTTAATTGAAGGTAATTAACTAACCTGGATTTTCCTGCTTCCAATTTTTCTGAGAACAATAAAAGGATGGCCAAGTAGTTGCTCAACAGTCCATCTTAAAAAAAATGTGTGCCTACAACACCAAATTTTTTTTGTGTGCAAAATGTTATCCTTTTCTATTCAACAATTTGAGTTTGTCCTTTATTACCTCCTCTCTTAATATCCAAAGACAGCGTTTGCAAGATATTCTCGATATATTGTTAGGAAATTGTGATCTCCAAAACGTAGACACATAGGATTATTTTCCTTTATCATATTCAGAACTTTCGGCTAAATTTCCGTGCAATCCATCCAATTTTCCAGCATCTAACTTTACAAATATGTATGTAGATATACACATCAGCATGACAGGCATAATTTTGGTAACTCCCTATCAGATCAACAATTGATCAATTTTTTTTTTCATCTATAATATAAGGCATTAGCCCTTTCAATAAGCATTTCATTTCCCACATTTTTATATACTCATAATGTACCAGTATTTCACTTTCTAGTTTTTATATACTCTTAACGCACTAGTATTTCACTCTATAGTTTGCGGCTAATAAGCACTTCATTTCCCACATTTTTATATACTCTTAATGTACCAGTATTTCACTTTATGATTTTTTATATACTCTTAACGTACTAGTATTTCGCTCTATAGTTTGCGGCTAATTCCTTAGATTATCGATGAAAAAAAAATCAATCAATTATTGATCTGATAGGGAGGTTTCCAAAACTGTACCTGCCATGGCAAGAAGAAACACACACACACATATACATATTAAGGTTTGACACTGCAAAGAAAAAAGTTTCATAGTTTTTTTTTTTTTTTTTAAATGTTGTTCTCTGTTGGGCTGACGCAGTCCGATGGAGGTGATTCTTTTATAATGCAACTTGAAGCTTTTTGTTTTGTTTTTTTTTTTTAAATGTATGGCACGCCATTCATGTACTCACTTCAGAGGTATGGCACGGCTGTGTAGGAAATATTTGGTTGTTCATGACCTTTACATTTTTTTTTTGAGTCTCGAACTTTACCTTTAATAATGCAGTTCCAAAGGTGATTTAATGTTGGCCTTCAATTCGCATTCTACGAATGTTGGATGGTTGTCATGAAAATATAGAAATGGATGCTTAAAGTTAAACATACTCTTTTCTTTTGGAACTTGATTTTCTTTATCTAGTCTTTTCAAGAAATACAAGAATACGTGTAATATCAATCATCAAAATTATGAACTTAATTTTTAGTACGTTCACTTGATGCCATTCATTTGTGAGAAAGTTTTGTGCACATCATTTGTTTTCGTTTTGTTTTCTAAAAATATAGATGGATTGAGATTCTTTATGGCTGCCAAATTGGATAGTTTGCATGGAAATTTAATTGTAAGTTCTAAATACGGTTAAGGAGAACAATTCCATGCGCTTACGTTTTGAAGATCATAATTTTCTTAACAATATATTGAGAATATCTTACAAACGCTGTTTTTGGATATTAAGAAGAGGTAGAAAAGGACAAACTCAAGTTTTTGGGTAGAAAAGAACAACATTCTACTTTTTTTCAAAGAATCACCCCTGCTAGGTAAAGTAAGCTTCGCAGGAGACAAATTTCTAAAAAAAGAAAAAGCTTCAGGTTATTTTATAAAGAATCATCCTTATTGAGCTAACGTAGCCTAGCAGGGGACAATATTTGAAAAAAAAAATTGTCAGACTTTTTTTTTTTGTAGCGTTTAACTTTAAAAAAAATCTTTCTCTTACTGAGTTAGCACAGCAGGTGTAGTTCTGAAAACCCTCTCTCTTTCGTACCAACAATTGATTGATTGTTTATTTTTTCAACAATAATATAAGGAATTAGCCTTATCTAATCCTTATGTGACTTAATATAAAAGTGTTCAGATAATTAATCCTCTAGATGTCAGTACAGAGCTTTGACACTTTTTTTTTATTTCTTTTTATTCAAGGAGATTTCTGGGATTTCACGTGGTGACAGCAGGGTAAATGCTAGGCTAGGAATTTGGACCACAGGCAGGAATGGTTGTACCTGCAATCGTTCCTAGCGATTTTGTGCATTTGGTATACCGCATAACTTTATTTACACAACGCGTAACTTTATTTGCACAGTGTATAACTTTAAAACAAATTTTTGTAAGTCTCACACACGTTATTAAAAATGAGATACAAAAAGTGATTTGGATCGTATAATTTTTTTGGACCAAATCTTGACCGTGAAAGGGTCAGGAGTCCAGCCCCTCATCCCAGGAATTTAGAGTCTGAACTAGGAAGCATCATCACAATTCACAAAGACTTCTGACTTCTGAGTCCTCCTTGACTTGGGAACAGGAAAGTTGACCTTTTGGCTAAACAAGGATCAGACTTGAAGGAATTATTCCTAAACTTGAGACAAGCCTTGTTTTCCTTTTGTTGAGCACATTGTTTGTAATATTTTGTCCATGGAATCTGCATTTCAATCTGGTATTGCATCAGCTTCCTTGCAAGTTGTTCTTGAGAAGATTGCTAACTTTGCTGTGAGGGAAACCAGCTTGATTCTGGGAGTTGATGATGAGCTGAGAAGGCTGCAGAGAACACTCCAAAGAATTAGAGCTATTCTGGACAGTGTAGAGAACAATCATCTGAGTCTAATCAACCACAGCAGCAACGAAGCCTGGAAGATGTGGCTTGTTGATGTAGAGAAGCTCTCATATTGTGCTGATGACCTACTTGATGAGATCTCGTTGGATATTTCGCGGGTACATACTGACAATTCAGATAATGCTAATAATAGCAACCTGGTACGCAGCAACCTCTTGTCATCTTTTAAATTGTCAATGCCCCATGAGATATGTAAGATAAGGAAAGAACTGGAACATATTTCAACTGAAATGGATAGTCTTTTCCTAAGTAAGTTATCTGCAGTGGGATCTTATAAGATGCATACCCCACTTAATAATAACTTTTGTGCTACAAGTTCATTGGTTGATGAAGAGTTTGTAGTTGGAAGAGAAAAGGACAAAGAGGATATCATCCAGATGCTATTGATGACTGAATCCAGTAGGGGCAATTTATCTGTGATTCCTCTAGTGGGTATGGGAGGGATTGGCAAGACGACCCTTGCTCAAGTTGTTTACAATGATGAGCGTATATTGAAGAACTTCGAATTCAGAATATGGATTTCTGTGTCTATCAATTTTGACCTGATCGGGATAAGTAAGTCAGTTGTTGAATCCCTCACTGGAAAAAAATGCAAGTTGTCTGACCTAGATCCCATTCAGTCTAAACTTCAAAATCTACTATTTGGGAGAAAGTTTCTTCTAGTTTTAGATGATTACTGGACTGAGAAATATGGGGATTGGGATGCTTTATGTTCACCTTTAAGAGTTGGACGCCAAGGAAGCAAAGTTATTGTAACAACTCGAAGCACCATAGTGTCATCAATTCTTGGTACAATTCGAGCATATGGTGTGCAAAGTTTGAATGATGAGGTCTGTTGGGAATTGGTGAAACAAAGAGCATTCTCAAGTAAGGATGAAAGGGAGAAAATGAATTTGGAAGAAATAGGGAGAAAAATAGCTAAGAAATGCAAAGGACTGCCTTTAGCAGCGAAATGTCTTGGAGGCATACTTCGTTTCAGATCTGATGAAGAGGGGTGGAATTCCGTCTTAAACAGTAAGATGTGGGAGCTTCCGCAGGATCAAAATGAAATTTTTTCTGCTTTAATACTAAGCTATCATTTCCTTCCTACACATTTGAGAAAATGTTTTGCATATTGCTCCATTTTCCCCCCAAATCATGAGTTTGAAATGGAAGAGTTGGTCCTGCTGTGGGTGGGAGAAGGGTTCATCCAACCTAGACGAGAAATGAGACTGGAGGACATTGGTAATGATTTTTTCAGTGAATTAATCTGGAGGTCCTTCTTTCAATTTTCACATGTTAACCTACACAATCAGTCAATATACAAAATGCACGAGCTTATTCACTGTATGGCACAGTTAATTTCTGCAAATACATGCTTTCGCCTGGAGGAGGATATACAACATTGGCCTCCAGCATTTAACAATGCTCGTCATTTGTCCCTCTCTCATGAAAGTGTCCAATCAATTGGGCCAAAGGCCTTCGCTTGGTTTAGGCAGTTACGAACTTTAATAATGTCTACGAATGATACCAGTGTCTCACAAGTTCCTTACGAACTATTTTTGAAACTTCAATTCCTGAGAGTGTTGAACTTGAGCCATATGGGCATTGATGAACTTCCTAGTTCCATTGATCGCTTGAAACATCTTCGCTATCTTAACCTTTCTGAAAACCACATCCAAAAGCTGCCTGAACCAACTTCAAACCTTTTAGCTTTACAAACCCTCAAGCTCAAAAGTTGCTTTGAGTTTTTTGAACTTCCAACAAACATGAAGAATCTGACTAATCTTCGACATCTTGACTTGGATGTAAAGCATCAGTTAAACTACATGCCATCAGGTTTTGGAAATTTAGTCAACCTCCAAACACTTAGTGCATTTATTGTGGGAAGAGCAAGAGGCTGTGGTATCAGAGAGTTGAAGAATATGAGATTCCTAAGAGGATCATTGTGCATTACCAATCTTGAAAATGTGCTGAGTCCAATGGAAGCAAAAGAGGCAAATTTATTCAAGAAACCATACCTTAAAAAACTTCAGTTGGAATGGAACTGCCTTGGGGATAAAATAGATGAGCAAGAAGTACTTGCGGGCCTTCAACCTCACGAGAACCTTAAGGAGTTATCTATATCAGGGTACAATGGTGTCATGTTTCCTAGTTGGATAAGTAATCCAGTGTACAAGCTCACAAATATTCACCTTCATAGCTGTCTGTCTTGCTCAATTCTCCCTTCTCTTGGGCAACTTCCACTCCTCAAATTTCTTTGTATTGAAGATATGGCTGGTTTGGTGCATGTTGACCATCATTTTTGTGGCTTCGGTAGTATTAAAGGGTTTCCATCACTGGAGTCACTAATATTCCAGGACATGCCAAATATGGCCACATGGAGAGGATTGAATGGAGATGATTTGCCTTGCCTACGTGAGCT